CACAGTAACATCACAAACATCATATATTCACCTGAGTACATTTTATAACACCAACACCACAAAATAAAAATTATTGATTGATTGACAATGAATTTGCTATTTTTGGTTGTTTGCATATATACAAAGCAAGAAATACAAAATTCAAATGCTTTTACTCATTTAATGTAAGCATGCAATTGAACTAACATCATCCAAATGAATACAACTTTTCTGGTAAAGGGTGTTTAAAATAGAGGTGCATAATTGACCCAAAATTCTTTGTCCCAAAATCTTGCTAATGCCAAGCTAGGATTTTCCATATAAATTATATACAATCACGCACGATTTGGCACAGTATTACCCCTGGGCCCAGGGTAAAAAGATCTCTGTGATTGTTTTTGTCAGTTTATACATTTCGAGACTGTCTGCAAAAGTATGAGTGATTGATCACTTGTTGGTTCACTTAATTGGGAAATGTGCTTCTACTATATAACTCAGTCTGGGTGATTTGTTTTGGCAAGCCTGCCCATCTAAAGAGGCTCATGTAACCAGACATTCATCCAGGGAAAGCGAGCTATAGCCAGGTTACCTGGGTGGCTCGCCTCTATATACGCAGCCCCTTACACATGTTTTAGGCTGACTGATAGCCGATAGGAGGGCTACCATAGCAAGCACATGCCATACACTGGGTAATATTAGATGAGCTATTGCAATGCTGTCAAATGTGACTGCATTTCAAACAGATCACATATATATTAAAGTATACATATTTAGCACGAAATACAACATACATGTATATCACACAAATAAAGCCCCGTTTACACGAGCAAATTTTATTTGACAAATTTCATATGTCAGAGATATTTTGCTCGTGTAGATGATAAATTTGGGACAAATTTATTGTGACAAATGCATTTGAACAAAGCTAGCATGCTAGCTTTTGATGAAATGAAATTTGTCAAATAAAATTTGCTCGTGTAAACGGAGCTAACAACACAAGTAGAGACTGTAGATTAGACTTATGGACTTCTGCTAATACAAATTAATCGAAAATTAAAACTGAACGTCTAGATCGGCAAATCGGCGGCGAAGCGACTAAAATACAGGCCTTCGTCTTCGATTTAAAAATATAACTATACAGTATATCAAGTAACTTTCCGCACATAAATAAGTAAATACACAATAAACATACCTTTGAAAACAAATTCCATGTATCTTATTAGGTCTTTGGAACTTTATAAGTAGAAAATTTGAATAAATATCATTCCCCTTTGAATGTTTGCTCCCGAAGGATTGAACTTGGCGCTTGGTCTTTGTGTGAACCAGATCGAATTACTACAACACGTGATATATTCTAAGCATGCTAATTGGTTGAAACTCTGGAGCTTCCACTTGTCGCAAATTATATTCAGCAGAATTCAGCAGCAGAACATTCCACACGTTCAAATTACAGATTTAGGCCAGCAAATAAAAAATATAGATGACTCGCCAACAATCTCTGGCTACATTCGATCGCCGCGTGCGATTGAAGCCGATATACGGTATAATACATCAATGGCATCAATCTGACTTGGCAACATTCGAGTAACCAAAAACGTAAAATTAAAAAAAAGACTTTATATCTCGAACTTCGTGCTTTTCGCATCTGACTGTATTCAATACTTTAATAGAGTATAGCCTCCAGCAGAAAAACTCTTGGATTCTCAGGCACATTAATTATATATTGTAATAATTTACTCCAGATCCAGAACAATTTTACTCTTTTTTGGGAGTTGAAACGACCCCTGGAGTAAAATTAAGGAGTACAAATTACTCCATAATTTCTACTCCTAAACGCGAGTTTAGTTTACTCCTCCAGCGGAGTAAAATTGACTCCTGATGGAGTAAATTGTGGAATGCGCGCCGAAGTGGAGTAGTTTTAACTCTATTTTGGGAGTAGATTTTACTCCACTATTTTTACTCTCCCGAGTTGAGTAGTTTTAACTCCTATGGTGGAGTTAAAATAACTCCTTGAAATTAACATTATCCATGGATTTTGACATTGTTCGCGTTGAATTCAAGTCTTAATTCACTCATCTTCTTCTGGGCAAAGCCTATGTTGAAAAACGAAGCTATAAAGGTCTTGAAGAGATTTTGCCGTCAACATGCAAATGATTTTTGACAAACTCCATTTATGTATTTGCATGTATTGGCTATATTGTTGTCTTGAAATGAAGACGAAGAATACTATACATTAATTAAGATGCATCCTTTCCATTCGCATGCTGCATCACCAAATGATTATTTTGACATTAATTTCCTATCGTACGTTAATTGACATTGCTTGTGTCTGATGCCACAAACTTTCATTGTCGTGTTGTTTCATTGTTGCAATTTAATTGGAAAAAGCATGAACGAGTGAATTTTTCAAAGACTATCAATATTGCACGAGTCGGAAGGACGAGTGGAATTTGAAGTGTATCAAAGCCAAAGGTGCATGGGGTGTAGTATCGCATTTGCCGAACGAATTTCAGTCGCTGATTAGTATTCTCCCCCCAAAATTGTTGGCGAGGGGTGCCGGTGGAGTGGGGCCATGGGGCGGGGGGTCCAAAAATTTTCCGGCATACCATTTTTCACAAACTTTCCATTAATGTTTCGTAATTTGTTAACTTTTTCCGTAATTTTAGCAAAACGTTTGCTATATAACTATTACTTTTTTATCCGAGACACTCTTAGGCGCTGTTTATATGGTCTCGGGTACCAGGGACACCCTACCCCCGAGACAACTTGAAGACGAAGATTACTATAGATTAATTAAGATATATCTTTTTTACAACCCAAATTGTGATGCTGGAAACCCGATGGAACACTGTCATAACTCTTGTATTTGATATCTCTTGTATTTGTATTACCTTTTCAAGGTAATACAAATACAAGAGATATAAATTGATTTAAAAATGAATAGGAAATATACATAAATACTAATACATAGAAAGGAAGTGTACAAAAGCCGAAGTAGCATAGCTTTCGAGCCGGCCTCTGGAACATTTAACGATATAATTCAATTAGGTTAAGTATTTGCAACTAAATTTCATTAGCTATATGTATTGATAAACTAGAGAAGTATTAATTCTGATTATGTATAATAAATATATTCATATAGCTTTTTTTGAAGAGTATTAATGAAAATAATTTTTTAATATCGATATATCAATAGTTTCCCATATTTTTGAGGAAATAAATTTTAAAGTATGAATTCCATGATCAGTTCTCACTTTTAGTCTTACAAGATTAATTTTCGTAGCATATCCAGTGTTATAGGTATGTTGATTAGCAGATTGTAGAACAAAGGATGAGAATGCTCTTGGAACATTTGTTTTGATATTTATAAGCTTATAGTTATAGGTAAACTCAGCAATTCTTAATTTGAATATATTATCGAGTTTCAAAATCCCAAGAAGTTTGAAATACGAAGTTACATTTTCCTTAGAATGAGCAAAAAATACACTTCTGCATGATATAACCTTATCTTGTTTTGTTCTTATTTTGTTCAGCTGTATACGTATTCCCCTGGCTCATAATTCCATAACTAAGATACGGATAAACAAGCGTAAAATAGAGTTGCTTGATGAAGACAGTATCTTAGTTTAGTTATTATACCTACATTTTCAGCAATTTTATTATTTACATGTTTTATTTGATACTCCCAACTAAGATGCTCATCTAAGAAGATTCCTAAGTATTTTATATTTAACAAATATAAAACATTTTCCGTGTTGATATACAGTTATATCAACACGAGTGGAAATTGTGAAAACGAGAAATTGTGTGGAAACACGACGCCCGAAGGGCGGAGTGTTTTCACACAATTTCGAGTTTTCCCAATTTCCACGAGTGTTGATATAACTATATATCAATACGGAAAAAATGTTTTATATTTGTTTTATAATATAGCACAAAGAAACATAAAAAAAGAAATTTTCCGACGTTTCCGTGTTGACATCGAGTTATATCAACACGGCTCTTAGCCATGCAATCAGCGTTCAGAATCTACAAATGCTATATTATAAAACTTTTTTGTTTAACTTTGTTGAGCACTTATGTATATCATTTATGTAAAGCAAAAATAATAGTGCCCTAGCGTGGAACCTAGGCCCTGTACTGCCTTCTGTTTTCTATAAATAGCTTTTAAACCATAACAATTGATTCCCACGAATTCCATAGTCATTAATTTGGAATTCGATGGAATTTGATGGTTTATAGTATCAAATGCTTTCGAGAAATTTAAAAATAAACCACAGGTAATCAACTTATTATCAATAGCGTCATTTAAATTTTCAGTAATTTCAAAAATAGCCTGTTCAGTAGAACACCCTTTCCGAAAGGCAAACTGATGTTCAAAGTGACAAAGAGAACATTGTTTTTTTTCAAGAAATTGCAACACCAATCTCTGCATGGAATACAGTATCTATTACATACAAAAAGTTATAGGAGGAAATAAGATTAAATAAAATATCGCAGTGCAAACACCTTCAGAAATTTATCCCAATTTTGATGGTTTATCTATAATGAATTATATTGCAATATAATTAATAAATTTTCTAATATATATATATATATATATATATATATATATATATATATATATATATATATATATATATATATATATATATATATATATATATATATATATAAATTCGGTTTCTGATACGAATGAAATAGGGTCGAATGATAAGTGTCTAATTAAGTCATTGAGATACAAAATTATTTTCTAGTTCATGCACTTTTAAAAATATATCTTCATATTTTGAATTATTCGTTTGTTAGATCGTCGTTGTTTGTGAGACAAGTTCTTTATAATCCGGTTCATTACCATCCTTCTGTCCACAAGGTTTTAACAAAAGTTCTCTGCCAATTCCTGACACGGGTCTGCTCTGATGAAACTTTACTAAGTCATTGAGCGAGAAATGTGCTATTTGATTGTGACCAAAGAATTGGTAGGAATTGTCACTGGTGTCAATAAGGAAGTGTTTGCATCGATCCACAGCTCGATATGATATTGTATACCCCCAAACTCTTTCACTTACACGGACCAGGAAACTGCCTACAGGTTTTTCTTCCAATAAATTCTCGGCTTCCTGCCTTGATATAATACCTGGAAGTAAAATATGAAGTTGTTTAATCTAATACTTGGTGTGAACAAATCGGGCACTCTAATGGACAACTTGCATGTTAGACTAAATTTTAATCTACGTAAAGAGAAGGGAATCAAACACCACAGCTAAAAAGAACATAATGAAATTAGTAAAATTGCAAAATTTGGTTGCGAAATGTTGAAAAGCTTGGAAAGTAGAGCCTTGCAAATTTTGTATATGTTTGTGTTACCATTTTCGGCTCAAAAATGTTAACAATTTCCGCACGTAATACAGACACATACAAAAATGCAAATTTGCAAGACTATATTTTCCAAGTTTTACAACATTTCGCAACCAAATTTTGCAATTTTACTAATTTCATTATGTTCTTTACGGGAATTTACTTTTTTTTTACCTAGATAAAAAATTAGTCTAACATGCAAGTTGTCAATTAATAGTCACTTATTTTAGAGTAAACTGGTCAATTTTAGTCACTTATTTTAGAGTAAACTGGTCAATTTTAGTCACTTATTTTAGAGTAAACTGATCAATTTCGGAAGATATATGGGCAATACCAGTCGGGTGGGTCGTTAGTATAGCTCTTAAGTTTGTTGAACTTTCGATGAACCATAATGCTAATCTTTAAATATGTTGTTTTATACGCTCACATGCCATTGACCAATCACGGGTCTTCAATACAGGGTCACGTGCATGCCCGACATTTTACGAAAGTAGGACAGTTCATATTGGATAGTAGCTTATCGTGGCATTTTTCCTGGCTTATCAGATTTTTTCAGATATTTTGACAATTTTAAACATACAACAAACGATATGGCAAAGTAATGAAAAGAATTTGGGATATTAATACAGTTTTTTTCTACCAGTTTGGTTCAAATTATAAAAGCGCGAGAAAACTTGTTTTCGCGAAATTGATTTGTTTGCACAAGCCTAGAGGGTAGTAAAATTATTTTTTTCGTTAAAGTTAGGTCAAATTTCCTTTAAACATTCATGGAATTAAGTTTACTTATGCACACATATTTGTAAAAATAAGTTTAATATTAACTTTTTGTTTAGTTATTTAAACATATTAGCCGCCAATATATGTAGTAATGCTGTCGCTGTTTTATTCTCGCTGTATTATTTTATCCCTTATGGACAATTTTTTGATTAAGTCTCCACTGACTTCAATATTAGGCTCGACCTTCGGTCTCGCCCAATATTGAAGTGTCGATCTAATATTTTGCCGTATTGGGCTCAGAAGAATCCAATGAGATATAATATATGGTCAAATAGATTGTTATAGCAGTTATATGAATGAATGGTTCACAGTAGGATTTATTGGATTTGTCAATATCGAAGCGTACATACCGTGGAACCAAGGTAAAGCGAGATCATTTTCAAATCCAGAACCTTTTGGTAACTCTACTTCCTGCCACCATTCAATAATCTGTTGTTGATTATTTGGGCGAGCAGTTCTTCTTTGTTGAGCTGGATTATCATTATTTACAGGGGGTGGAGGGGCGGGTCCAAGACGAGTGTTTCTAAAAAGGAAAAAGACACAGTACACCGAGTTGAAACACGAGCAAAGTCGCCAGTTAAAACTCAAAGAAGTCAAAGGCTCCTGCGTCTGCTCAGTAGACGTTGTTTTAACAGAATTAACAATATCAGTTCCCTTAGGGCTGTTAATGTGGCAATAAACCTTGTCCAATCAAAATGTGCTTAACTCAGTGATAAGAGGTATCACGCCATATATACAATTTGTGCTTTCCATTGCAACAAATACGTCATTAGCACAGTACATTCTTACATACCTCCTTGGTATCGAAGGTGGTGAACGTTCCGGTTTCTGTGGCTTGATTGAACGGACTGGAATTGCAGGTCCAGTAGCACTGATAAATTCTGGTGATGATATAGTTGGCCGCTCTTTCTTCATACTTTCTAACTGTTTCAAATCAACACGTTGTACCTTAGATTTTGACTGTGAAAAACGTCGATACAGACCACTTGCGACTTCGATAAAACCTTGCTTTTGAAGTTCTTTGACTTCTTCCTCTCGACGTTTTACTTCTCTTCTTGCCATACTTACTGAACTACGTCTTTCATATTCTGCTTCTTTCGCTTTCTTTTCACGTTCTATCCAAGCTTCATGATCATTCTTTCTTGATTCTTCTTCTCGCTTTCTTTCTTCTTCTTTTTGCTAGAAATTAAAAAATATTATCATACATATAATTAATTTCTACTTCATATACGATTAAAATACCCAGTCAAGCAGTTTACTATCTATAGTATAAGCTACCATATATGCTGACCAACCTAAACCCTAATCTTAGCCCTAAACGCTCAGACCATTTTTGGCGTCTACTGGAACTGTAGTTGCCATATGCTGTCGACAAGAAGTTTAGGTACATGCAGTGCATGGACGGTTCACTTCTCCTGCGAACAGGCTCTTTGGTTAGGTTAAAGCCCGCGCATCTACGAAAGTTTCCGAACTGTTTACGATAAATTTATCATTCATTATTCATGATTCATCATAACAGCTCAATGCCGTCCGGCCATGAGATTTCATGCAACGTTATTAATATAAAGAACTCCGCGAGTATTTGTCGTAGAAATACGAAAATACTACCAAAAAATTCCGCTTGAAAGATACTGTACACTCGAACAACGTTAAATAGCCATAAGATATAAACTAGCCATACTCGAACAATGTAAACTAGACATACAATACACTTTGAACAATATAAACAAATATGTACGACGATGGGTCACTAAGCCATACCTTTCGCCGAATATAACTTCGGTCGCTCTTAACCTATCTTTTTCGTAATAGTCTTGTTCGAATCACAATCCAAGACACTATTTAGAGTGTTATTTTCAAGTTTGTATCTATAGATTTGCATCTTTTATTTCGGTATTTCAGAATATCTAAATTTTACGCGAGACCTTCGAGCGAAAATACAGCTTGAAATATTGAAACAATCTAGCACTCGGGAAACGTCGGAATCGATTCTAAAGGTCGAATTATCCGTTCATGTGGCGTGATTTGCACGTGCATCGGCCTAGGCACGCGCGTGCGAGTAACAACCCGATATTCTAGTCCGCCGTATTCAAACGAAACTTTCTGCACGAAAGCGCTTGAATACAAGGAGTATTTCACTCCTACTGACTTGCAGTATTCTGAAGAGTTTTGAAGGTACTCAAATTTTTCTCGCTATGAAATACGAAATGTCTGGCCAAGCGGTGAGTGAATATATACGATTGTTTATTTGTTTTGGTTTGTGTAATGTTTTGAAAGCATGTGTAATATTTTGACCCCCCATTCGACAGGTGTCAAAGGTTATTTTATGAGGATTTCAACTTGCAGAGATATTTTAATCTTCCCCACTACAACGTTGGAAATGTCAATATAAACCAAACGGCATTGACATTCTTTTTTGATCCAGTAGACGCTATGTACGCTACAGCGTACCTATTTTTTCAGATTGTTGATGTTGCGTTTCTAAAACACACTAAAAATCTGCCAACACCTTTGCCGATTGTAGCCCATGCATACGTTCCCAATAGGATTTCTTTACTGTACGTTCATGATGTTGGGGTCACGATTAAGATGTTGGGTTTACAGTGACAGGTGACCTGTTTTCATTGTACATGTACTACCCGATCGTTGTATGAAAAGATAGAAGATATTTGCTTTTATGTGTCTAACAGTTCTGCAAGGTACCAAAGTATAATTAGTATTTGATATTTGACTCAACTATACCTTTTTTATCTTTTCATAAATTTCTTTAGTTCGTTGATCTTGTTTTTCCTTCAGTTCCTTTTCTTTCATCCTCTTTTTCTCGTTTTCTTCTTCTTCCAGACGTTTCAATTCTGCTAATCTCATTTCTTCCACCTTTTTCTGTCTCTCCAACTCTTGTATACGTTTTTCTTCCGCTTCCTTCCTCGCTAATTCTTGCTTTTGTCTTTCTTCCTCTTGTTTTTTCCTCTCTTCATGTTGTCTTTGTTTTCTTAATTCATCTTGCCTTCTTATTTCATCCTGTTTTCTCAACTCGTCTTGCTTCCTTAATTCGTCCTGTTTCTTTAATTCGTCCTGTTTCCTTAGCTCATCCTGTTTCCTTAGTTCATTTTGCTTTCTTAGTTCCTCTTGCTTTCTCTTATCCGCTGCCTCTTTTCCCTTCCTTTCCTTCTCCTTTTTCTCCCTTTCTATTTTATCCGCTTCTCTTTGTTCTTCTTCTTTTCGTTTTCTTTCTCTTAGTTGTTCTAGTTTTCTTTTATCCGCTTGTTCTGTCTCTTTCACGTTATTTCTATTTTTCAATTGCCGTTGCTCATTTAAATCTAGTTTTAGTACAACTTTATTTTTCGCCTAATGGTAAAGATAGAAAGAATTACTACGCATAATGAATTGCAATAACTTTTACTTTAGCGACTACGAAAATGTGACAAAAACTATGAGATTTTTGTCACATTTTCGTGGTCGCTATAAATAAAGAATTAATTACCATCATGTGGTAGCCACTTCTTAAAGAATAATGTAAAAAATACAGATTGACATGTAAATGGTGTGACCAGAAATCCATTTCATTGAATACTCAACGCTTCACGTTTCGGTGAATATCCTTGCACTATTCACCAGTCCACTTCGGTGAATAATTGTAAACTAACATTTTATACTAACATTTTAACATACAGTACTCCAGGTTAGATTTTCGATATCTCAATGTACCTTCTCATTTGTTTGATCCACCAACTGTTTGTTTGCTTTCAGCAGCTTCTCTTTTTCGGCACAATCTTTTTCCAGTTTCTCCTCTTCATTTTTAAGCTGCTTAGTTCTCAGATTAATAGCAGCAAGTTCTTTCTTTCTTAATTCTGCTGCTTCTTTTTCCGCAAGTTCTTTTGCTTTTTTCTCAACTTCTTTATCTTCCAATGCCCGTAAACCTACATGATAAAACGAAAAGGCACTTCACTGGCACTGGTATACGAAAATCCACTCGTGTATGCATTTTTTCCGTTAGTATAGGTAATCACACGGGAAGGAGTGCAATTAATGACTAACACTACGAGTGATATTTGAAAAATGTGCCAAAATTACACGAGCCGCCGACTAATTCTTGTGCCAAAATTTTGTTAAATTCGTCAACGTTTGTTTGTTTATACAAGATAAATTTCGCCGCCATATTGGATTTTTGTTGTTTTGATTTCCCACTCCCCCCAGCCATCACGAAAATCATTAAATGCACTCCTGGAGAAAATCATTAATTGCATTCCGTAATTAATGATGGTAATAGAACGAATAGGAGTGCTATTAATGCCATAATCATGTCTCAATCACGAGTATGATTATGGCATTAATAGCACGACTTAATTCGTTCTATTACTTATTAATTAATACAATTCGTGAATTTTAAATTTTGAAATTTTAAAATTTGTGAATTCCTCCATTTTGAGAATTTTTACAGCAATAAAGAAAATAAAATTCAAAGTTTGTATCCTGAATGCTGATTGGCTAGTTGTAAATACTA